TGACCAGATTCAGTCTTGGTACAGGCATAAAGATGGTGGGAACAACATTCATTGACAGCAGCTAAATTTTCATTCAGGCTCTTTTTCATCTGTTGCTTTCTCCTTTAGAGTATTTTATATTTTTAGACCACTTAGTTGCAAATGATGCAACAGAAGAAGCTCTGAAAGGTTTAAAGTTCAACAAGCCCTGATGGTTCTCATGGCCCTGGAATAAAATATAAATACTGCCATGTTATAATAAACACCATGACATTATTTGTTATAGTCATTATAAATAAATATTAATGACTAATCTTCATTATATGTCAATGGCATTTTTGACTTAAGGCTGACAAAAACATCAAACATAAAAGGTTATGCCTTTTAGCAGTCATGCAAGGCAAGCACTATTGTGTTCAGGACAGTAAGGCAATGTCAGCATGAATCAAAACTGAACACATCAAACCAATGACTGTGCAAGAAAAACTTTATATATGCAGATTCTTCAATAGATGCTAAAAAGAAGCTGATAGAACTATAACAATGATTTCATCTGAATTTTCCTTATTTTTAGAACTCAGGTCAAAAATCAGTTTCTTCAGCAAGTTTAAGTTTTTCTAATCAGTGGTAGCCACATTTTACACCGACAACTATACACAGATCAGAATTTTATTTCTCAGGCACCATATAGTGCTATGTAAACCTTTTATCTATCCAGTATTTCAGAAACTATCTAATTATCTTTGAGTCTGCATTTCCCTGCAATATCAGAGATATAATGATATCTGACCAACAGCATGTAAAGAATAGTTTCAGAGTTGGCCAACAAATGTCATTATAAACATGTCTGTAAGAAACAGAACAACTCCTTTGCAGCAATCTGCCTGAGATGAATCTAAGATTTTTTTCAGTCTAGTGCCTTTAGTAGTACATCACAGAAGTGCAGGAATAGTCTCTAATAAATCATGTTTTGAAATAAAGATTATATTTTTACCAATATCTTGATTAATTTAGGTTTCTTCTTTACATTTCCATTCCACACATAACTCTTTGCTGTACTATGCTTTGGCAACTATTCTTGATTACTACCTTACTTTAAAAACTCATATTTAATTTTAAGTGACCTGTTCTTAACTGTATTTTCACTTTTTAATTATATCTTCAACCCTTTCATGGCATTTAAGCACATGAGGAAACATATAGGTATATCCTAAGTACTAATCAAATAAAATGGAATCATACATGTACTTAAATACAGTGCTGAATGAGCCCAGGACTACCCAGAAATCTAAAGCTGAATGTATGCTTACATATTTTTGTCAGTCAGAATCAAGAAAATTTTTTGTGCTATGTTAACTTGCTATTGCTGTAATATTTACAGTTTCAGAAGAATTTCCAATAAAAAAATTACTTTTTAAAAATATAGAAATCTTGAATATTTAACCTTTCTTTTCAACTATCCCAGGCATGAGCTCTGACAAATCAGGGAGTTTATTTTGTTTTTATTAGAACTGGAATTTTTACAGGTAAAGTAAGTGGATTTCTGAAGAGTTTTAAGAGGAAGGAAAACAAGCCTAACAACCACCCTGTGCCAGAGACAAACATTCATCCACTTCTTAATTTGCTACAATCTTATTTAATTATGAACATAAACTGGAATTTTGTAATACCGAGGAATAATGTTTTTGAATGCTCCCATACACAATGCTCTTTATCAAAAAAAAAAAAAAAAAGCGCTTCTTGTTTGACCAAGTTCTGCATTTTTGAAAAATACCACTGCCTCACCATGTTGGAACTGGGGTAGGCATTGCGTCAGTAAGGCACAAAGGCCTCAGAGCAAAAGTGCAAGCCTTAAAATTCTTCTCCAGGTCGCTAATATCTAAAGCCTGCAGTCTTCTGAGTTTTGCCAGTAGGTACCTATGCACCAGCTTATGGGCTTCGAGTTCTGTTTCTACCATTGGAAGCATGGGTAAACTCTAATTTGACCTCTTTCTCGTAGATATCCCCTTTTCTGCAATGGAGCAAGGGTATCTGTTTTATTTAAATATATGGTCAAAAATGGTCTTACTTCTATGCTATACAATAGCTCAATGGTGGTTTCAAAACAAATTGTTAGAATACTTGTTTAAAGGGTAAGTGCTGTGCCTCATTTCCCCAAACAATAGCATATTAAACCGTACCCACTACCCCTCCTGAAATAACTGGCTCTCAGAAATTCTAGGGGGGCATAACTTACATGTTGGTCACTAAGAGATTTTGATTAAAGAAATAAAAATATCAAGCTGCTTCAGGCCAGAGAAATAGATCTGCATTATTACTTTTAAATTTTGTGCTCCGGATCCTCATCTGTGGGACAGAGCACCGTTGTTCTCTTTGCAACACCTTCCAAGGACTCTTGATGCATTTTAAATGATCCATAATTTGGAGATCGATTCTTCCACCCAGGACTTTCTAAGGCTAGATACAGAAATGGACTAATGTAGCCAAATGGCTTCTGAAATGGAATTAGGTTTCCACCAGGTCTTCTAGCTTTCTTGTTTATAAACTATTCAGGTGTAAACTGGTAGTACTTCAAGGCCTCTCTGGTCAGTTCATGGAGTGTGATGTAGATGGCAATATAATACAGAAATTAAGAGGCAGAGTATTCCTCTATAGCAGCAAACACAGATGTGGATAGTCTTTTGTAAAACATTCCTGAGCTATACAGCTAATTTCTTTTTTATTACATCTAAACAAATCCATTCCATTCAGTTCAGCTGAAGTGATATACCTGGAAATAGAATTTAGCTGTTGCTGCCAGGTGCCTAGCTTTTGAATTTAAGGACAACTGGTTTCATAATTTAGCTTTATTGCTCTATTTTGACTCATTCAGTATTATCAGAACTCCTAGTGCTTTTGGCTTAAAGTGTAAGTATAAAATGCATGGGATTTCAATATAATGGCTCAAACAGTGAAATAAATTGCACAACTTTAGAACTGTCCCTCATGAAGTAAAAGTGAATCCACAAACGTCAGTAACTTCTCACAGTCTAAGGCCAAACTCCATGTAAAAATTCTTGCACACAGTGCAGCCCTACTGATTATACACAATATAACTGGACCCATGACATTATTTCATACCATCAAGTACTTGCTTCTGCGAATCAATTTAAGGAAACACATAAAAACATGATGGCATCTACTTGGCATACAAAAAACAAAACACTCTCAGGTGAAAGTACCTAATATCAGTCATTTCTTAAAAATGTCTACAATGCACCACACGTAGTTGCACTATGTAATTAAATCATATAAATAACAAATGTCATAGTCTATGTATGCTTTTGTGCTTTTTAAAGCAAAAACATAATTTTAGATTTACCTTATTAGTATTAATGGCTGTGATGACCCACACACACTGAGCATTGCTGTCGTACTGGAATGGAAAATTAGGTGATGTGAAAGTGCCTCCAGGTCCCTGAAGACTGGATCCACAAGTCTTGACTGCAAACAGAAAGTTCATCTTATAATTCACATATAAAATACATAAAGCTTGTTTTATGAATCTGCTACAACATATATTAATCAGCATTTAAAGGCTTAAAATACCATTGACCAAAAATAGAACTACCTAATGCAAGACAATTGAACACTCAGGCTTGTCTTCAAGCTTTTTATCTAAACCAAACCAAACCAAAGCAAACCAAACCAAACCATACACATAGACACACACACACACACACACACGCACACACACATTTGGAATGAAAAGAGGGACTGCACAAAGAGAAACTCTTTGCTCCATTTAGTTTTAAAGGAACGCTTTCGTGTAAGAAGTATCTAATATCATTGCCTCCACAGCTATCTTGAAAGAGAAGAGTTTACATAGTAGAACACAAAGATCACTCTAATCCTGGTATATTTGTTTGTTTATTTATTGGTGTATGGCTACCTCAGCATTTTTCCTGCTGTTACCACTTCCCAAGCCATTGAACCAATGGCTGAAACACTGAAAATTTTAAAGGGAGCTTGTAAAAGCCAGTCTTACACAAAACAGTGTAACTATTTTTAAAAACTACTAAGTACATTCATTTAGAAATCAAAATATGTTTGGATATTTATAGTTGAATAACATAAAAAATTGATATCCTTACTCATTTTAGCTTGTGTCTTGCATCACAAATAACCCATTGCAGATAAACAGAGTTGTTTGTGCTGGTGAATGATACTACTTAGGCGCTAAAACCATAGCCTGCTGAAGCCAATGGAAGTTTTACCATTAGCTCCTTGATATTCAAATCTTCCCTAATGCCCTAACGGTGAACTTTTCCTCTGTTAGGCTGTAGAACTCACAAGCAATTTCAGCTCATGAGCTTCTCATCCTATTTCTGTCATGACTATTATAGCAGGCAAGTAAACTGCAGAAGCTGAAAAGCCTGCTCCAGATTCTGGCGGAAACCATCTCACCTAATTGATTTAAAATGTTGACTAAAAGAAGAAAACTACTGTACAGTCTTATGGCACTCTGCCTGCACAATGCATGCTTATTTTAGCAATACCAAATACATGCAGATTCAGTTTTGGATGCAGATTGCTTTCTTTGTTCCCCCCACCCCTCGTCCCGCGCCCCATTAACCTCCAGAAGGAATGTCATTCAAAATAGAAATGCATAGTTACCCAGTCCTTAAAAAAAACAAAATTAAAAAAACCTCCCCAGACATTGTGGCTCATTTCTGGTTCTAGGCTTCACCACATTTCTAGTGCTAACTCAGTTATTTCATTTCTGGTGGTAACTTTTGCAATCATATGGAAGTCTCCTGATAAATTTGACCTAGTTAGTTCAGAGAATTATTATTTTCCAAGTCTGAATTACAAGTGCACCAAATATTTTATTGATATATTAGTTTGCACGTAATCAGTACTTATTTAAAACTTTCACAATTTCACAAACAATTTTTGACAATTGATTAAAGTAACTTTTTTGTTCTGTTAAACTACTGGTATGTGCTACTGACATGCCTCAGTGACACTTAAACAGTTGGTATTTGAGGATATTTTTAAAGTAACATATTTTGAAGAAATTACTTCTAAAAAAGATATTCATAATTAATTTAAGTAACATGCTATTGAAAAAAAAAATCCAGATGATGAAATGATTGTGTTCTACATAATGGGGAAAAAAAAAGTAATGAACAAATAAAAAAAGACACAATTGGTACCAAAGCTTCTTTAGTACTCATAAGAAAGAGGTCTGTGAAAAACTGATAGACAGCAAATACATCATGGAAGTCGTATTTAAATACTGTTAAATCTATCGGAGACTTCAACATCACCTTTTTCCAAGTGAATTGGCAGAATATCCGGATACGTAAATTTCTGTCATTATGCAGCTTGGTTAAGTATGTTTTAGTTGCAACATCTTGCAAATAAAAGTAGATACTTTTAAAAGACTGTGATAGTTGGTAATTATCCAGTGTTGTGACCTAACGTTTTTGTGTTCTCTCTGAACGCAATACATGAGATGAGACATCTTCATATGTTATGCAATTTAAAATGCTTTGGCATGTTGAAGAATGAAGGTTACTAGAGCAAACAATCTAACAGAATAATCCAGCACATAATTTGTTCATTGTTTCCATCCAACCCACCCCACTTTTACCGCTCAGAAAAGAGCCTGTTCAAAGCCACGGAGAAGCCGCAACCCAAGGAAAGGATAGGACGGCTCCTCATTTATGATCAGCGGCTGCAGCTGAGGTGTTTCTGAGCGAGAGAGAGTATCAACACCTAGCACAGCTTTTCTTCTACTGTGTTTCTAAATAAGAAACCGTATGACTCTTGCAGCTTGTGCTGGTGTGTGGGAAGAGCGACAGCAAGGAGGGGGCAGCAGCGAGTGTAGCAGACCCAAGCTGCTGCCCCAGCCGGACACGTACGTGCGTGCGTGCGTGCGCGTGGCCGTGGGAAGCAGGTTGCCTTCGCAGCCTGCCTTGCTCCGCGTCGGAGCTGCATTTGCTGCCTTTCCTCCACGCAGCCACAGAGTGGAGGCCCCAAAGAAAAGCCATCTGGTCCTCTAGTGGAATGATCCTGGTAAGTGCTTGACACCTAATTTCTATTGCTTACACTCATTTCAAATATTCCTAACAGACATTGGTCTTGAGTACTAAATCAGAAAAAAAAAAGAAAACATAGCTTAAAGACACCCAATCTGGAAACTGATTAATAAGGGAAAAGGAGTGATTAAAAATATGGATCTTCATTCATCTGAAAATACAAATATAAGAAGCAGCAAAGACGAAACCATTAGCTACACTTATTTAGTTAGAGAAGACTTCTGATTGACCAAAATAAAATACTGACATATTATAGTCTAATAATGAAATTCTACAGAGTTCAAATGGAGAACTCTATAGAAAATGGTTCAAATGGTTCAGGGTTTTAGTTATTATATGACTGATCTCATTGCATCTGTCAGGTGACTGATGAACAAATCACATCTGCATTTTATTGATGAGTATCAGTCGTTTCTGTTTAGTAGCAAATGTAGTAAAAGTAATGTTCTACTGTAATATGATAACAGAATATGCTAACATTTTGTTTTCAAGTCTACAGCCCAATTTGCCAATTAAAAACAAAAACTCCCATACGATTACTTTCTTTACCTAGTAAGTCATCTGCCTCTGAACATCAATATTGTATTCTCACCTTTAATATCCCTGTTTTTGCTCATTTCCCGTTACCTATTCTCTCTCTTAATAGGTATCTCATGCTCCCTGCCTCTGCCTCTGATTTTGTGTGGATGACATGCAGATTCATTCTCCAGCACTGCAACCTTTTAGACTGCTGCCAGTCATGGGCAGTGCACTGTATACATGTAAATTTTTTAGTGATTGGCAGAAAATCTCTCAAACACGTAACAAATAGTCTAAATAAACTCTTTGCTTTATTTATCAATACTTATAAATACTTCCCACATCTTTTGTTTTGAGACATTCTTTGACAACCCTTCCAAGCTCAAGTCATTCCTCATAAGCTAGTTCACCTAAGCGTGAACGAGCTGTCATGTTTCTGCGCTCATTCTTACAGCATTGTAGGGAGTAAGTAAAAAAGAAAAAAATTAACTGTTTCCACTGGATTTTGGAAGTACTGCTTCACAGTCAGTTGATTTATGCAACTCTTCACATGAGTAAGTCCCTTTAACATTAGCAAAGCTTACCAAGCTGAAAGTTGCAAAACTGTGAAAAACACGACTCTGCTAATCACAAGCTCACCCAATACAGCATGGATGTCAGGTGAATGGTAACTGGAGTTGAATACAGCTCAATTCTCTGTATTATCAGCTGAGAAACATGCAAAATAGGATGACCACTTCTAAACACTGTGACACCTTTGTCACAAAATAAAATAGGGCTGAACACAACGGAGGCAAACACGACCTGAAAAGTAAACTTAGATACTCTTATAAAGTAAGATTATATATAACATGTAATTTTATACCTAAAATATATAAAGCACATGTAAATATGCTCTCCATGAAGTTTTATAGGGAGGAAGTTTAAAAATAGCTCATAAACATGAAATTTCATGAATTTTCAAACAGTAGATAAAAAACCCCAACTCAGTAACAAGAAAAATAGCCTGTAAAGACAGGAAGAAAATCTAAACTGATTTTCTGAAGACTGTTCAATTGCTTTGTAAAATATATGCAGGGAAGAAGCATACTAAGGGCTTAATTCCTTTCTAATTCTGCAATCCTGTCTAAGCATAGGAGCATTTGGAAATGGTATTTTTTTTTATCTGTGAGAAAAGACTATTAAAAGTAGATAATTTTCCGAGCAGTATTGATAAAGCAGCAAGCTATCCCATTAGAACATGGGGGGAACCAAATTACATTAATCAGCATGCCAGATAATCCATTTTTTTTCATTGTTTGTCTTACATACTTTAATTGCTGTTTATATAAAGTATTAAAATGTGTAATAATAGAAATCCTAATTGGCACATCCTTTTTAAAAAAAAAGAAGAAAGGCAGGTGCCTGCACTGAAATTCTACTTCAGGTGATGCCAAACGCTGAACCGGGAACGTCGGCATGGTCTCGCATTTGTGTGGCTCCTTTCGGAGGTGAGCTGCACTGTCTGCATAAAGCTTCACTGTCATGCATGTCGTGTCAGAGTCCATGTATGTGCACGAGCTGCGGCTCGTACTGCACCTACTCACTGCACGTGTAGACTTGCCTGCCAAGCTTCAGGCAGCACTGCACTACACTGTCAGCTCAGACTGGGTGTAGAAATGCCAGAGGTGCACTGGCTTTAACAGGCCTTGCCCACTGCCTCCCAAAAAGGATGTTAACACATCATCTGAAAAACTGCTGTGGAAAGCACCACACATGCGCATGAGTATTACAGTGAAGTAAAATGAAGAATAAGTAGTATCAACAGAAGATAGGTTTTAAATATTTAGAGGGGTTATTCTTCTGATGTCCTCAAAAGGAAAAAAAGGAGCAATCTTC